AGCTTTGCCTGCAAAGAAAACCTAAACTGCTTCCTGAGAAAAGAGGAGTGCTCCTGCTCTGTTGTCCCTAAATGAAAGAGTTCAGAAGATGTTGAAGGAGCCCAGATTGCCATATGAAAGCAAACAGATGCCTGGGTTTACTGTTCTGAGTCAGCTAGAGGGGCAATGCCCAGCACAGTATAATTTTGATGGTTTCAGGTAAAAACAACCTTTCTGTCCACAGCTAGATTCCAATTATACTTCTGTTTCATTAAACAGACATCAAAGTACTTCAGCGTTTCATCAAAATGCATGAGCCATGTGGCAATGTGGTCCATGAAGAAGTTGTTATAGTCACTGAAGAGAATTAAGTTCCCAAAAAGAAGTTACAAAGAAAAGCAACCTCACTGAAGCTGTAAGCCAGATGCAAGAACAAAGGAATCAGTCAACAAGCAGATGTCTCCCAAGAGCCAGTGTTACAATCACCAACTGGAAAGGCTGAACCAAGAAAAGAATGTAATCTTCCTGAAGGTAAGCATGACTGTGTGGGTGAAGGAGAATCACCAACTACAAAATTCTGTTGTCAACGATTGCAAGATTCTGTGGTGGGGAGTGTACAAAAATAACAATAACTATTAACTACTGTAAAAGTATTTCTGCTTGGGACATGACATTCATCTTTCCTCATTTTGGACACATGTACTCTGTTAGCTAAGAGATGTACCAATTCTATCTGTGTGATAATAGATTAAAACTATAATATATTTGTCTAATCTTTCTAATTCAGTAACTGTAAAGAGCAGTTGAAACTACAGTACTACATCTATTAATTTTGTTCTCAGTTTTGTATGACCATTAAGGCCTTTATTAATCACAATATACAATATATCACCAACCACAATAAATGTGATCATTGCTTCTTGTGTAATATTCATTGTAAAGTTGAAGGCTGCATTACCTGAAGTTGAAGGCTGCATTACCTCAAAGCAAGGCGAGGATTGGATACCTACGGCTAAGTCCAAACAGTAGGGGCCAGCTCCTGGTTTTTGTGTGCATCCAGACTTTGCCAGGATGAATGAGAAGATTTGTCACGTGGCATGGCACAGTGGCAAGAGGGGAATCCTAGTGTCATTTTAGAAGGTGCCCAAGGAGTCACACACTTATTTATCCATTGTGTTTGCACAGAGAGGAGGGTAGCATTCTCCTCCCAGCAAAGCCATTGCCCAAATGCAAGCCAAAAAAAAAGCAAAACTGAATGTACACTTTATTTTCTTCCCTCTTGCTACAAGGATCTGACAAGGAAAGCAGCTGAGCTTGAGAATCAGCCCACAGAAAAGCAAATCTCCATGGGTTATCCTGAGGCAGCACAGGGGCTTTACAGTGATCCCAAGTGAAAACCTTGTGGATTGCAGAGAAAGGAGGGAAAACATTTGAGTGGAGGGAGTCATTCTGGTTACTGTAAATATCTTTTTAAAGTCATTTTTACTTTCTTATGCTTGCTAATTTAATAAAGACAAACCAGCAAAAAAGAGACCCAGACCTAGGTCAGGAGTGAGGTCACCCTGAGATTAATTACTGCAACAAACTGAACACAGGCAAACATCTCATGTATGTAGCAACTGAAGTTACTTAAGATTTAACTCTGTATTAGCAGTACACTGCTAATTTCTGAGCATTTTGAAGTATTGACATGATCCCTTAAATTTAGCACCTTCTCTGGTAAGGCTGACTATTCTTTGTGGTATTTGGGGCAGAACCGAGGCTGCAAACTGAAACAAATGTATCTGGTTCCTGCTGTCACAAGTCCCATTGCATTAAAAACTGTCAATACCTGAGACTTTCAAAATATATTTCAGCTTAAATCAAAGCTTTTAATGAAGTTAAAACATAAGCCTAGTGCAACTTTTATAGACTTTCATACAATACACTGAAGTTGATTTGGGGCCTCTGGATACTATGGTCACATGTCCAAAAAACCGCCACCAAACCCAAACAAACAACAGCAAAAACCCCTGAAAAGATCTGTAATGTAAATTTAAGGCCACTTAGAGCTCTTATCTTTCATAGGCAGCAGGAACAACTAACCCCCACGGAATTCAGGCCATCTAAGCACATCTCAGTTTTTGGACTTGACTGGCTTGTAAAAGGTCTAGTGCAGAGATCTTTAACATTGGTATTTTAGTATGTGGCATTTCTCCCGTTCCGCTATTTACATATTTTCATTGGTATACTGAGGCTGTCAATGTACAAAATTACTTTTTATTTCCCTTAGCAAATGTTTTTTTCATTTGAATTGTTGAGGATTTTTTCCTTATGATCATTAAATGCAAAGACTAAAGAATAACTTAAAATCAATTTTAAGAGACCAAGCTAACACAAACACAAATAGGAACAGTGTGAAACTCACATCATATCAGTGTCAGCTTGCTCAGGAAATTTAGATACATTTCTGCTATGAGGATGCCAGGATGGCAAAGCCAAATAACATTTATTTTTAAATGTGCATCCAGCTTTCCAATAAATTTATCCCCTTATACAACCAAAGTTTAGCAGGAAGCTACACACAAAGGCCCATGTTTTAGATTCAGCTGAACGTAATTCCTTTAAAAGGTGACTGTGCCTTGTGGATGATTGGTTTTAGTCTGAAGAAGAGAAATCTAACTAGATCACTCCTCTCCAGCGTAGCAGAAAACTGTTGCCTGCATCACTGACCAGGTTTAGTGTTTATTTGAAGCTAGTCTTAAATTATTTAAGAAGTAAACAAAAACTGCAGTCATAGTTAACTAGATTAAACAAGCATATTAAGTGCTGGATGATCCAGAGTATGTCTTTTAACTCCTTTTCTTGAAAAAAAGGTAGAAAATAAGAACACTAAAGGCAGCTTTCAGAAGTCAATTATCTGCTCACCAAAGTCGAAGATGACATGAAACCTGTGGTTTTGTCCCAAAATGAGCAATGTCTGAAGAACAGAGCACAGAAATGACGCATCAAATGGAAAGAAAATTTCCACTTTAAAGATCCAATATAATTTAAAATAAATACCATAATCCGTAAAGTAAAATGAACATTTTATAATTTTTTAAAACTTCGTGCATGGGGTTCACAGACCTGATAATACACCCAAAATAACTTGTCCAAAGTATTCCTTTAAAAAATTATAAATTATTGGTAATAGTTTCTTTAATGGAGATTGCAGGAGTAGGTCCCACATGAGTCCATATATAGCCCTTCTCTGGTCTTGTAGGAACAGTAGGGAAGGGAGATGATCGAGATTTGAAATATTCCGAAGGTGCATGACAAACAAATTCTAAATATTCCATTTTCCTTGGGAGATCTTCTTCTGGTCCTAGGAAAAAAATAAAGAATCTTCAAAGACAAAATTTAAAAGCAAAAAGGTGGAGTATGCAGCACTTAAAAATATACAACAACAGCCAACATCCCTTAGAGAATGTGCCTTTTTCAATCAATGGCTGGCAAAGTATCAACAAATACTATGCAAGAAATCTCTTTCTTTTTGCTGGGCTGATCTTTTTTTTTTTTTTTTCTCTCATTTGAAATATTCAGTCATTTGAGTGAAATACTTCAGTTAATATATTTGAAACAGAAACTATTTGTGGCCTGCCTCCCAGAAGGACTTTTCTGAATTATTAATCATTTTATATCAGTGGCAAAACACTCTCTATGCACACTGTGTATTTTAAAGACGAAGATGAGCTAATTCAGGTCACTTTAAAAGAAAGAACTCGGACGGGCATATCGGGTTTATACTGTAATAACTTTGATTCTATCTATGGAGTAATAATTTGCTCCTAAAGTTACAAGACTATAATTGTGCCTGTGAGCACAAATACTCAAATATTAGCAGTACTGCAGTGAGTGCAATTCATATTATATACATAGTAAAAAAAGGTTATTAAAGTAAATGAAATGCTCTCAGGATTAGGGTCTAAGATGTGGACATTGCGTTAAGTGATCTTGACAAGCTAAGAAGTTCATTTAAAAAATACAACTCTGCATTAGTCCAGGCACATATAAGTAGTTGTATAAAACAAAGGCTTAGAGTTTACCTATGATATAGGATGCTGGGTCAAAACAATCTTTGGGGCTGGCTTGTGTAGGAATGAGCCAGGTTAGTGCAGCACTCTTTTCACAGTATTGGTCCTGAATAAACCCCCGGATCTGAGCATAGTAAGTTTTTCCATCCTGCTCATCAACCACTGAAACAACATCTCCAATTTGATAGTATACACCCTAGAAGACATACAAACAATAATTAAATCAAACAATCTGATCTCAGAAGCTTCACTCCATGATTCTGACTCATATCTTGAGTATCTTAAATTATCTCAAATTACCCCAATCTTGAAAGACACCCTTAATTCAGCCACATGCAAAAGAACAGTGGTGTACAATACAGTGCTGTTGCACCTAAGCAGTCATCAGCACTGCTTATGCACAATCACCCCATCTCTAGGGGTCCGAGTTCAGTCCCAAAATTGCTTTTGCGACTAGACAGGCAATTCCACATGGTCTCTGTCCACCAAATGTCCCAGAATCAACCTGGTCTGATCCATCTCCAAAGAAACAGCTCTCTCAGCTGCTCTGCATCCCCCTCTCCCAGGACTGGTACGTCTCCAATCTGCAGAGTGGTGACCATCTCACTCCGTCAGAAGTAGGACAGTGTGACACCACCTTCTAGAAATAGTAATTGTAATAATTTCCCTGGGTATGCAGGGAAAGCAGCCTTCTGTGTATGAAGAAGCTCTCTCATTTGAATGCAAAGGAGTCCCAAAACACAGATCCACCTCCTGCCACCTTCCATGGTGCTCTGTAAGGTGGGAGGCCATGCAGCAGACACTACTCACTTCATGTTATAACAGCTTCGCACAGCACAATGCAGTGCCTGCACTATCAAGATAAGAGTTTGCCAAGAATAATCCAGGAGGGTTTTGTTTTGAAAAAAGATAAAAAGAACACAAAACCCCCAAACAATCTCCTTCTCAACAACACAGCAAAGTATCAAAATAGAAACATTTTGCATAAAGAGATCAGGTTAAATAAAACTTCTGATATAATTCTTATGAATTTCAGATAAAAACAAAAACATGCAAGAAAAGACATTCTTTTCTGAACTGGTCAGAAGTAGAGATTTATCTGGGATGTCAGATGTGAAGCATCAGGTGTCTAGAGAGCATACGGAAGCTCAGTCTACCACTTCTCCTCTGGCTGTGCAGTCTCCCCACTGGCTATCCTGACCTTTTATTTGGGGGAAAAGACATTTCAAACTGTTTGTTTGTACTCCCAGGACACAAAAGGAAATTTCTGCACTTCAAAACACTGACACCTTGGCATGCTCTCAAGCATGAATGTGAGAAGTCTAGCTTCTGCTTTCATTGCAATAGCCAACAGATGTCATTCCCAGGGTGCCCGAGACTGCTTGCACCCAGCTCTGAAATGGGAGCCAGTTTAGGCATGTTAAGGCAGTGCAACTCATCCCTTCTACAGGCATCATTCTTTGTGCCTAAGGTACGATTTAAATAATCAGCTATAGTCACTGTTGCTTGACCTCTGCACAGTGAAAAGTTTAAAAACCTTGACTGCAACAATTACTAAGGAAACCAGACACATCTTTTTCTTGGAAACAAGAAATGGCATGAGGACAACTGTGTAAACTACTGTGGTAAACTACCCTGCAAGACAGAACAGTAATGACATAAGGCAGAGCAAAATCCTACACAACTGCCAGGCAAGGAATTCAGTTTCTGTGAATACATCCCTAGTGCTTTCACTGTCTGTGATAATTTTTAAAATTGGAAATAGAAACAGCAAGATCTTTTTTGTAAAAAAAAAAAAGCATAAACCATACCTTATAAAAGATCGATTCTGCTGTAATTATAGTGGATACAGACTCAGGAGCCTTGATGGGCTAAGGAAAGAACATTGAAACGCAAAATAAAAGCGTAAAACTCCCCCAGCCATATAATATAATCCCAGGTTGGTTTTTTTCCTTTTAGCCAGCATACTGATACATTAGCTTATTGGAAAATTAGTAAACACAATAAATTGAGTGCAAACATTTCAAACATTTGTACTTTAAAATTGAAAACAATAAAGTTAACATTTTTATTCTGGGGATTTTAAGGGGAGAAGCGAGTACTGAATTCACATGACTGGCTTCTCTTTACACAAAACTCCTTCCCTCAAGAAACAGGCCTGAAGGGCTGGATGCTGTGGGGACCGGAGAATCCCGCAGCAGGTGTGCCCACGCTGCTGAGGAATAAAC